ACTAAATGAAATGAATTTTACTATTAATGGTCATTCTTATTCTTTTACTTATAATGAACTTAGTAGTAATACAGAAGAATTACGCTTATTAGCAGTTGTTAAAGCTATGGACATTGGCAAAATTTCATGATCTGCATATAGAATAATTGCTAATCTTAGTCAAAATTTACCACGTGAATGGGCAGTTTCTGAAGCAAAAAAAAAACTTATGTATGATATGGCAAATCAAATAAGAACAACTTTATTTGGCCTTTCATCAATGTTATTAAATGATTCAACTGAATTAATTGATGATGAAGAAATTCATTTTAATGATCAAAATATTGTTGAAACAATTATAGAATTAGTTGGAAAAGGCGTATATAGATCAATTAAAGATATTTTAGCTTATTTAATTCCAATATGGGTACAAAATGGAATATTAAATTTAGAGTCAAGAAATATTTACATACAAATCTCTGGTAATGGACGCAATGTTGGGCAGAAAATAAAGTATGTAATGTTTACATTTAGTATTTTAAACGATTTGTCAAATATTCATAAGCCTGATTATCACCATACATTAATTCTTTACCCAGGAACAGAAAAGTATGAAAGCTTAGAAACAGCATTAGCACTTTTTATTTTAGACTTAGAAGAAATAAAAAATGGATTTGTTGATAAACAAGGATGGCTATGGAAAATTCACTTATATTTTTCCGCAGATTGGAAAATGCTTGCACTTTGTCTTGGGCACAAGACAGCTAATGCTGATTATTTTTGTTTGTGGTGCAACTGTAAAAAAGATGAAAATGGTAACTTTGAAAAGGATTGGCGAATCAGTAAAAATATTGATACTATTAATCAGAACTATATGAATATGAATGGACATATGAAAAAACCTATTTTTTCTATGATTCCTTTGCACAATTGGATTATTGATGAACTTCATTTGTTATTACATGTTTGGGATTGATTATGGTCTTTAGTAATAGCAGAGCTTAAAGCTACTAAAACATTTGATAGTAAATATCTTGAAATTATTCAAGAAATGAAAAGAATCAAGATTCATTTTGAATTTTGGCGAGAAGAAGGAACAGCCAATTGGAAATACACCTCCTTGATGGGGATGACAAACTTAAGGTGCTTTATAACTTTGACTTTACAAAGATTTTATCTAATAATCGTGCAACATTAGTACAAAACTTGTGGAATAACTTTGCTTAGCTATATGAAGATATTAAGAATCCTGAAATAATGGGTGGTCAATTTAAAGCCAAAGCTATTACATGGCTAAAACTTTTTTTAATGAAGTTAAAAAGAAATTTTAACTCCAGGATATTGGTTAAAGGATTATATCGACCTGCAGATATAACACCTTATATTCATGCATTAGTATACCACGTAGCAGAATTTAAGGATTTGCATGCTAATTTTGGAATGGCAAGTTATTCGTGTGCTGCAGTAGAAAAAAAAAACCACTAGCAAGTTTCATATTTTTTTCAAAAAAGTTTAAAAGATGGTGGCAAAGAAGGAGTTAGAAAAGCCGCTATACTAGAAATAATGGATTATGATACTAGGATCTTTATTTTTATACTCATAATATATCAACTTTTTTTGAAAAAAACACTAAGCTTAAAATTAAATTGCGTCAAGGTAATTATACTATCTATATTATATATTAAAAATACTGAAGTAATACTAATAAAGTAACAATTGATTTTATAGAACATGTCAATTAAAAATTAAAGTGATGTCGTCAGTTTTGAAACCAAATTTATTCGATATTTTGTGTGTAAGTGAACTTTAATTACATATTTTAATTATTAAATTGATTTATTTTTATATATTCATCTTGCTAATTCTGGATTATTTTTACTAGGTTCTTAGCACTTATACGTATATATAGTAAGTAACTAATATTTACTACCATTGTATTGTAATATAAAATAATTCATATTTGACATTTATGTGAAATACTTACTGGTTTTAATGTATATCTCAGCAAATTTAGAACCAGCACTATCAGCAAACACAATCATTTCTTGATCAAATCTCTAAAATTTGAATGATTCTTTGGTGACAAGAATTTGCACTAGTTTTTTGTAATGCATAAAATAACTATATTTTAATGTATTGTTTCATTAAGCTTTAATATTATAATAAAAGCAACGTGCAATAGGTTGGTTTAAGAATTAACATTGAAATATATAACTATTTTATTGACATAATTATCCTCAATATTTAAATTGGAATACTGAAAACCGAAATCCTGATTCTAAAATAAAGTCTTAAAAGTTTATATTCTTAATTTTAAAATTTCAAAATTGTGGGTTTAAACTGTCAGAATTATGGATTTATAGAAGGGACGGTCTACCAACACAGCAACTCTCATGACTTATCTTCTTATCGACACAATAATTGGCAGGGAGTTCCTACTAATTGCTGTGCTGATAAGAAGATAAATCATGTGAATTGCTGTGTCAGTAGACCATCCCTTTATAGAATTATAAATCTCAAGATCTTAAACTTAGAACCATTATTCGAACTGACACTACAATTAAATCAGTATTTTGTTTAGAATAACATGCATAAATAAGTGTGTAACAAAGCCATCGAAATATATAAGCTTCTGAACTTAGCGTTAGATATTACTTGTATATACAAATAAATCAACCTTACACGCTATGTTACGTCGAAATATAAGGAGTACCATTCCATCACTATGTTACATCGAAATATAAGGAGAAGGCTTGAAAAAGCTAATTTTAAATTTACAGACCACACAGAGATAAGTTTCAGAAGCTTTGGAAAGGTTTTAAAATGAGTTGAAAGACACCAAAATCAATAGTTACTTTTAAACCGTTTTACAGTTGATGCGAATAAATCTTAATAATGAGGTACTTTATTATTTATGATATTGAATTTGTCTTACTACAGAATAATAAATTTTTATATATTATTTATATAATTAGTTTAAACTATGTAAGTTTATTACAGTCCCAATATTATTACATATGTTCTATGAGGGTCACATAAGGTAAACAAGCAATTTATAATTTGAGAACTTAGTAATATCATGAGTTTATTAGTGAATCTATTATATTAAGCATATTTTATTATAGTGCGAGCTAACCTTGGACTATTGTACTAAAATTTTATCTAGTCTCTACCAAGAGTCCGTTACATCGAGAATCACCGTATAGTGTGAATATATAGATATTATATATGATTTTACAATGTGTTAATGAGGGACCATGAAATGCCTAAAATTAAATTATATTTAATTGCAAAGAATAGGTAGTGATGCAAATGGCTCGGCTCATGGTAGAAGGTTCTTCACAGGCTTCAAGTAACTCTATGTAAGTATACTTCATTTAATAGACGTTTTTAAAGTAGAAAATAGTAAAGTATGGTAAAATATAATTGCTAAAAAGTTTCTAATTAATTTATAGAAATTATGGATAGTTTTCTATATACTTGAAACATTAGATTTTTAAAGGTGGTTTGGTAAAACTATCCGAACAATTAAATAAATTTATCAATGTCATTGAAGTCATAATTGTAGGTGAGTTTATTATTGGCTATCGTATAAGCACGAAATAATGCTCGTGAGCGTTATTTTGAAAATCTAGTCCTTCGAAATAACTTATATGCTCTCTAATTAGTGCTCATGTGCGGTTTGAATTAACGCGAGTTGATACACCATATGCACACACTCTATATAAGTGCACTTCACTTGCACTTTCCCTATAATGATGAGTGCATATAATTTTATTGGTCTAATGTAATTATTTAATATTATATGTAGATTATTCTTTATAACAAAGGTTGACTATATTGAATTTAGAGAATATTCTCTTATTTCGAAATAACACACATAGGCGTATTCGAGATAATGCACTAGTCAATTAATTAACACACATGTTTAAACGGTAATAGTAATATGATATAACCCTATTGGCTTGCAGCTCTATGATTGACTCTAAAGTTTGAACCAAGCCGTTTTTAGAGCTGATGCTTTATTAGTAGGCCTGGAGCTGAACCGTTTACCGGCTCGGCTTAACCGTTCGCATCACTAAAGTATATATTACGAAGGAAACGATCTTTTATTCTTACATTATAATGATAATGCTATTCTTAGAAACCATAAGTACTATACATTTTTCATATTTATTAATTTACTGATGCTTTAATTATTTAGCATTTAAAGAATATCTTAATTCATCAAAGACAACTCAATTGCTCATAGAATGCCGGTATATATCGAGCTTCAATTCTTGAAAATATAATATAATATAAAACATGACTTTTATATCCTCAATGTAATTCTTTAGAAAATTTTGAGCGGAAAACTACAATACTGTTTTAAGGCTTTGAATCAAAATGGTCTTTTGTTTTTATGTATACTAAAGAAATAAGGAACCGTAGAAGGTAACTTTCTTAAAATACTGAACTTTGCAATAATTAAATAATGGTTTTGCTAATTGTCTAAAAATGAAATTGCTTTAGGACAACTTGTTCTTAATAAAGCCTTGAGTCAACACTGTTTTATCAGACATTAGCTCAGAATAGCGATCTTGATACAGCAAATCGAATATTCTAATGTAATAAAAAAAATATTTAAGAATGTTTTAGACAAGAAAATTTTTCAATTATGTAAAGAAGTTCTTGAAGATAACTAACATATAATAATGCAGGCTAGAATTATGCAATATTGTACATGTAGATTACCGAATATTAAATGATCTAAGTAATCAATATTACATAGATCCCAATTATTATAATTTTTCTAAATACCTTTTGATTATTATACTTTATATTGTAGTTCTTATTATAAGAGAATGCTTGTAGGCACTATTTTGAAAATCAAGTTCTTCAAAAATAACATATATGGACTTAAATTAATACTTACGGGTGTTTCAAATAATTTATTAGTGTGATTAATTAATCTTTATATGTTATTTCATATCTGATATTATACATTATTAATATCATAATTACTTGTATTAAAATTATCTCTATAGGCTATCCTTTATTAACAAAATAAAAAATCTATATACAAGAAATAATTGAAAGTTAAAATGATTAAAAAAAGCCATATCTGTTGTGAATCTTAGAATTAAAAATCCTCTTGTACTTTTATGATTGATAATATCTTTTATTCCTCGTTGTTCCCATTTAACTTTCATTTCAAACTTAGCTACATCTTGATCTTGAGAAAAAGTATTACAACCTGAATCCTTTATATTATCATCAATCTCTTGATCGGTTTGTGTTGGTGTAAATAAGATTACTGCAGTTTGCTGATTTCCCGTATAATGACGAATACCCCAATTATTATCTCCAAAAATTGACTGTAGTGTTTCATATGCATATTCACCTGTAAATACACATTCATAGGTTTGTTGAGTAAGTGCATACCGTGCTATATACTTTCCAAATACACCTACAAACTGACTTTCTAAACAAGGAATAGTAATACATCGAGATCCAACTAAGCTACTATGATTAGAAAGTTGACATTGAATTAAATAAACAATAGTCTTTTTAAACTCATTGATAGCTTCCTCAGGTAAAGATATTAAGTTTGCACAAGAAATGTTGTATGTGCTGTGAGTATATCTTTCATGACGAGTACATAGTGTACAAAAAACTCATGTATTTATCACCAGGGGAATTTGAAATATTTCGTAATTTGTAAATACGAGTATTATGAATGTTAAAACCACGTTTGCTATTAAATGTTTTCTTAGAGCATAATATGCAAGAAAAAGTTGCGTTCAAAGTAGGTTGTAGTGTACTTTTATTCATTTAAACAAATCTAGAAAAAAACTAAAATAAATAGAAGTTCTTATTTTTTTTTATTAAAATATATAGAAAATTGTTATAATATTTCTATTATTACAAATATTAAATTCTTATTAATGTTATCTTACCTTAGGATGGGTTCTGCTTGAAAAAGATAGGTTTCTCTAATAGATAAATATTATTTGGGGTATATTTGAGTTGTTTTGATATAACTCGAAGAAAAATTTGGGGGTGGCTTAGATTATTTAACCAATCACGTGATTTGGATAAGGGTTCTTTTAAAGGCCCAACTACGCCGATCCGCTGATATGAATTTGTACTCTGGGTTTTATATCAGTCACATGATTTGTCACATGTAAATTTTTATATATATAAAATTATAAAAAAAATATATAAAATTACTATAAACTTTGATTCCGTGATGTTTC